TAGTTACATGAAATTTTTTTTTTAATAATTCTCTATTTAGCAGTGGCAATTTATGAAATGTTCCCTGCCTCAAGAATTTTTTTTTTACTATATGATATATTGTGTGTGTGTGTATTTTAACATTATTCCCTTTCTTTTGAGTTACTATCTGGAGGGGTTGAGTCCCTCTCAAAGCTTGGTGGGCTATTATTATCTTCCTCCTAAATCATAATGTTGTTAGCTAGATTGGCACTTAGGGGGTGTTTGGATGAAACCAAACCATGATTTGGAGAATAGTTTATGGACAATATATTATGAGGAGAATAAATTTTGTGAAGAATAGATTTTGTGAAAAAGGTGATTTTGAGAAGTGAGAGTGTTTGGATAGTTGTTATCAAAAGCATTTTTTATATATACAAATTACTAAAAAAGACATACGTTAATATGATAATTACATAAAAGATAGATTTTATGATATATTTTAATTTGAAGGAATAAAAATGTTAATAATATATTTTTTACCAACATAATTAATATTACATAAGATAATATAATTAATAAATAATTAATATGTATATATATATTTATAAGATATAAGATTAATATGTTTATAAAAAATTAATTGAGGGATGTTAAAGTCATATTATTGTTAAGATCTACTCTGACAGGAATAATCATACTCTCCAATTTAAGCCAGAAGCAGAATGGATTCATTTCTTCTGAAACCATGGTTTTGGGTTCCAAAACCATGGTTTCAAATTATGGCATAAAAATTGATGCTGTTTGGGTGACATTTCACCCAAATCATGGTTTTGCCTCCCAAATCATGGTTTTGGGAGTCACCCAAACAGGCCCTATGACCTAGGTCTTATGTATAAGAACATTTTATATATGTTGATATAAAATTTATTTTACATATTTATTTTATATTCTATAAATTACAATTAAAAATATGTTTATAAATCATTTCAAACAGGTTCTTGTTATTTTCATGATTATCATTACATCCATCAATTAAAATTTATGGAGCAACACTAGCAATTTATTTTTTACTGCAATAGGAATTTTCAATTTATAATATCTTGTCCTTAAATTTATGAAATTTGAGAATAAATTTGTAATATTTTTTTATGAGAAAGTTTGTGTCTGTGATATTCTACGTATATATAAAAGCAGAGACAGTCAGAGCTGAGTTGTCCCAACACCAAAGCATTCACTAACTGTTGCTGACTGAGGCTGCAATTTTGAAATCCTTATCCACAGCAATTTTCTTACTATTTTATTTTTCAAAAAATATATAAATGGGTTATGGGTCCTCATTTAGCATGGTGGTAATGCAACTCAAACCTTCCAAAATTTTATATAAATAGTTTAAATTTAAAATTTTTAATTTACAGCTCATTAATTTTTTCTTACTTTACAATATTTTTAATAATAAATTAATTTTTTAAAAGAAATGTTAGTAATAAGATTATTTTTATTTTAGATTTTGTATTTATTAAATAAAAAATAATTTAAAATATATGCAAAAATTAAAATAAATATGAACAAAATAAATCTAAATAGTTCAGATTAACGTCAGCAGTTCAGCAGCATATATGCTCTTTTCTTTCTCTTTTTTTGAAATGGAACATTCTTCTAAACTAAAAAAAAACAGATTAGTTTTAAAAGTGGAACATTTTATTGCCAAACAATAAAACTATATAATTCATTCAATAAAATATACTCGTCTGGCTCTATTTATAAGATAGAGAGAATATTTTATTTGATCCTATTTATAAGTTATTTTATTAAATTTTAGTATGAATGTACTATTTTGTTTTCAATTTATTATAGTATAGATATTTATATTTTTTTAAAGGTGTAGAGATTCAATAAGGATAAAATTAGAACATTGTTATATTTTAATGGAGAGTTAACGCAATTTAAGATTTTTTTTAGTTTATATAAAATATATTGAAAGTATTTTATAAATAGGCTAGAGCATTTTATTTATCACTTATTAATCATTAAATTTTGTACTACAAACACTTACATTCATTGATATATAATACTAGTATAAAAATAATATCAAGTTGTACTTTTCATAAATTGTACATAGTAATGGTAATAGTAAAGATTAAGACAATACTTACATCAAGCTGCGTATATTTATTATGTCAAGATCTTTAATCACATATCATATGTTTTATTTTTAAAATATTAATATTTAATAACAGTTAATTATAATTATAAATTCACATAAAATAAAAAAAGACATCTGGTTATATATAATTAGAGAATTTAATATAATGGATACGAATACGAGCAAATTAATGTAAATATTGTCGTAAATGTTGTTGTTGTTGAAGGTATTGTGTCATGCGTGTTACCTCTTAATTACTTCATAAAAATCATGGATTTAATGTTGAGTTTATAATTTCTGATTCTATTGAAAATGTTATTTTCATGAAATAATTTTGAGCGCCGGCGGGGTCCTTTGCTTCTTCATGCTCTTACTTAGGACCTATTTGGTTTGAGGGGAGGGGAGGGGAGGGGAGGGGAGGTTTCATCCTCATCTTGTTTGGTTTGATTAAAAAGGAGGGGAGGGGAGGATATTTAATGATCCCTTATTTGGTTTAAGGAGGGGAGGGAAGGGATAGTAATAATCAATTTACCATTTTACCCTTACATATTAGTTTACGTTTTTTATTGATATATTATATAAATTAATTTACATCTTAATTTAAATCATATAATTTAATAAAAATTCAGTCTTATCATGTTATTATGTGTATTAAAAAATTGGTACAGTAATTTTTTATTCTAATTAATATAATAATATATTTAAAATAATCAAATTAACAAATTTTATATGCTCTAAGAAAAATGAAATTTTATTTTCTTTAGGCTATCTTTTTTTCCAGCTTGAAAATATATTTAATAAATAATATATTTATAAAAAACAATTAATTTTATAATATTATAATTTTTTATTTAAATATTATTTTTAAATAAATTTTTATAATAAATTTTTAATTATAATAATGTATATATTTTTTATTTTTTTATTTAGGATTATATATTTTTTATTTGAAATAAATATTATAATAATATATTTTATGGATAGAAATAGAATATTAAAAAAACTATAAAGACATAATGGTCCAAAAATTTAGCCCCCCTCCAAAAACCTCCAATTTGGAGGGGAGCCAAAATGAGGGGAGGGAGGGAGGGGAGGGGAGCCCCTCCAAAATTTTTAACCAAATGAGGGGAGGGGCTCATTTCCCTTTCCCTTCCCTCCAACCAAACAAACCCTTAATTATTTTTCCCTTCCAAGGAAGGATGTTCAACGATCACGGACAACATTACTTTTTAATTGAGTGCTAACAACAACAACACCAATGATAATGATAATAATATATTTGTTTTTTATTATTTAATTCAGTTTCATGGCACATAAATACTACCTCGGATCCTAATTATAAGAGCCAGTTGACTAATTTGAGGAAATTAAGGAAGTAAGCTGAGTTAGTTATTTGTCCTAAATAGGTGTTGTTATTCCTAAAATATCCTTGTTAATCAAGTGTATTGACTAGAACTATCATTGTTAGAAGGGCTACTTTAAAAAAAATGTATAAATATAAGAGACAAAATAAATTGAAGTCTTATATTTAAAACCAAAATAAAAGTCAAACAGAATCTTATACTCCTCTGGTCCTTATTATAAGACCCAATTTGACTTTTTATTTGGTCCTAATTATAAGACCCAATCCATTTTCTCTCTTATATTTATGCATTTTTTTTCAAGATAATCCTTCTAATAATGATAGTTTTAGCCAATATACTTAATTAGCAAGGATATTTTAAGAATAACAACACTTATTTATTATAAATAACCAACTTAACTTACTTCCTTAATCTCCTCAAATAAGTCAATTGGGTCTTATAATTAGGACCGGAGGAGTATTAAGGATCGGAGGTAATATTACAGTGAAGTATTTATGATTCATTGTATTAGAAACGAATATGATTCATTGTATTAGAAACGATAGATGATTCACCCAACCATTGTACAAATTAGTAATTACCCCGATAAACATAAACATTAAAAGCAATTTAAGCCGTGATGAATTGGCAAAAACATGTAAGCTTTTATTATCCGAATTCAATTAAAGTCCGCATTTAGTATTAAAAATATTAAAATACCACATGACAAAACTTGTTCTATTTTCACACTAAACGATAGTTACTCGTTTTAAACAAATTATTTAAAAAATCATGACACTACTACTACATAGTATCTGAAAAATAAATTAATATTTTATTTAACAAATTTTTGCATCGGGATTTAATGTTTCGGTATATTTAAGATCACTGATAAAAAGGGCTCAGGACCCATGGGACGAGAGTACTATTACGTATGGAATGATAAATAAATGGAAGAATTACAATTAGCTTCTAAAAAAGCGATTTAATTATTTAAAATCTATTGATAATTGAATAGCGTACAATAATAAATTATAGAGTAGGGAATGTCACTTGTCATTGAGATTTCTTAGTAATTAAATTTTCTCATTAAGACTTCATGTTAATTCTCCCATAAGTAAATTAATACATTTATATAAAAAGAATTCTAAAAAAAAGACTGTTAAATTTTAAAATTTTAAATTAGTATTGATTATTATCCTCATAAAAAAAAGATTACATCCAAAAAGTAAATGACAACATATTTTTATAGTAATTCCTAATATGAAATTTTAAAAATTAAACATTTATTTTTTTGAGATTTTTTTATTTATATATGGTATTTTTGCTTGGACAAAAAATATATATACGGATTTTCTTTACAATTTTCTTTATAATTTTCTCTTAGTATGAAATTACCGAATTAGTCTGCGCTCGCCTGCGGACGCCCTACCAACCTGAGACTAGAAGAAAACATCCCATATACTTTCACCGAAGTGAATAGGGGAGCACAGGTTCCCTATAATAAGAGATGCGGCCAGTTTCACATTAAACAATAATCCAAACCGATACGCTTTGAAACAAATTTTGCAGCTTTCCACATTATTTTCTTCGTCTCCTCACGCGCATTTCCTTCAAACAATCTCCCTCCCTCTCCCTCTCAGTCAAGCGTACGTTTTGTCAGATTTCAGTTCTCGAAGTCCAGCAATTGAGCTCAACCCCCACCTCCATTATGGTCCTTTCGTTTCCTTCTTAACCCAGCCTTCTTCCCCCTTTCCCTTTTTTTAATGCCACTCAGTAACTGTTCCGTGCTCGCTGGGTTTTCGTCTTTCCATGTCTAATATACCCCCCCATTCTCTGAACCTGCATTTAACACCTTAACCGATTTGCGTAATATCTGGGGAGCCGCACAGGATCAAAAGTTCATCAATGTGTATTTAAGGCCCTCCCACTCTTGGAATTTGAGTGTTCATATCGAGATAGTTAGAGAGAGTAAATATTTTCCAACTGAGCAGAGCCGCAAGAGCAGCCCTATCAGGTGGCTCTGCGCTGCTGATACTTTATTTATCAGAAAAGGAAACGAGTTTATGCGCTGTGAGTCCCATAGGATTTACGACATAGCCAGCTATATATAAAGTCCCCTGCTTTCCTCCACTTCTCTCTGCATATCCTGAGGTTGAAATTCTCTCCACTCACCAACATTGACCAGGAGTAGGTCCCTTTTTCTTTAGTTTGGTATCTTTCACAGGGCGAAATCTCTCTCGCACTGTGTCAATTTCTCTTCGATGGTTCAATTTGAGTTTTGGTATCTGTCTGATGCAGGCTTTTTTTTCAGATCCTTATAATCTCGACGCAATGTCCCAACAGAAGCAAGCCGAGGAAGCCATAATGCCAACCATGAATCCGACGACTGAGCGTGATGAGAGTGAGGGAGGAGCGAAAGGGGATGGCTCTGCTTTTACCTTCAAATCCTTTCTCTGGCATGGCGGGTCTGTCTATGATGCCTGGTTCAGCTGCGCTTCGAATCAGGTGACAGCCTACGAATCCACAAATGCCCATCTCGTAATTCATATGCTTAGATACGAGATTTTAAAGTTTTTTGTTACTATGCCACGCAGGTTGCCCAAGTTCTGTTGACGCTGCCGTATTCTTTCTCTCAGCTGGGAATGCTTTCGGGCATCATATTCCAAATATTCTATGGTTTCCTTGGAAGCTGGACTGCTTATTTGATCAGCGTTCTTTACGTCGAGTATAGAAGCCGGAAAGAGAAAGAGAACGTCAGCTTCAAAAACCACGTCATTCAGGTCAACAACAATTTTCAATAATCTCTTACTTTGATCCGAACTCAGAACCATCGTGCTGTGAATATCTGTTTAGAACAATTCTTACTGATCGTTACTTCAATTTAACTCCTGGCAGTGGTTCGAAGTGTTGGATGGCTTACTGGGTCCATATTGGAAAGCTATCGGACTGGCTTTCAACTGTACTTTCCTCCTCTTTGGCTCTGTTATCCAGCTTATTGCCTGTGCAAGGTCTCCATTTAACTCCCAAACTATTTCGATTGATATCGTTTTGGATAAATAATTTTAATTTTAATGGGTTTTTATGTATTTTTGCAGTAATATATACTACATAAGCGACAAGTTCGACAAGAGGACATGGACTTATATTTTTGGAGCTTGTTGTGCCACCACCGTTTTCATACCGTCGTTCCATAATTACAGGATATGGTCCTTCCTGGGCCTTGGCATGACCACTTACACCGCTTGGTACTTGACTATCGCCGCCGCCGTACACGGCCAGGTCTGCCCCACCAACGGTGTTGATTTTCTCTGGTAACTTGTCTCTCTCTCCATTATAGCCGCTGGGATCTGAACTTCCCCTTGCAACACTGTCGTTTCAGGTTGACAATGTGACGCACTCGGGCCCAACCAAACTGGTTCTGTATTTCACAGGCGCCACCAATATACTGTACACTTTCGGCGGGCACGCCGTCACAGTGTAAGCCCTTCTTTTTAAGCTTTTGTTCATTGAGTCGTGGACATAACCAATCATGGTACTGTGTTGTTTATGATTGTCTCTTGGACAACGGTTCAAAGGGGAGTAATAATAATAATAATGGGAGGAATGGCCCCCCATTCTTTTGCAGCTTTTGCCTGCGTTCTAACCGGGGGGGCTTGGAAATAAGACAAATGGTAAATCCTAGCGCTTTTTGAAGCACTCGTTATACAATGTCTTGTCTTCTAGTTACACTCTGTCACTCATAATATAAAATTGTAAACTCCGATTTTGCTTTTCCCCCAAGATAGCTCCCACATAATGGTATACTCTGAAATTCACAGTGCCAATAATATTGTACTGCCAGTCTGCCACATAAGTAAGAGAATTTTTCAGACTGCCCAACTGGGTGTCTGAGAATTGAGGAGCCATAGATTAGGGAACTAGTACATTTAAAATCTCCAAAGGATGTCTTATATGTGAATTTCAGGTTACTATTATATTTTAGAAAGGCAACAAAACTAAGAAGGTGTTTAGGTAAAAATAAAACCACGGTTTTAAGAGTTTTTTTACAGTATACGAAGTAAATATTTAGAAGAATTTGTCTCGATTTGTAGAAAAATGTTTCTGAAAAGTGTTTCCGGGATTATCCAAACACCTCCTAAAAATTAAGAGATGTTCATAACTTGAAAACTAAGCCAAGTACGGCGAGTGAAGTTGGCCAGTTATGATGTCCTTTTTGATCGAACTGGTTTTAGAGGATGAAATGTTGATTCAGTATTATTAATGCACATTGTATTGCAGGGAAATCATGCATGCTATGTGGAAGCCACAGAAGTTCAAATACATATATCTCTTTGCCACAATTTATGTGTTCACCCTAACCTTACCATCCGCAGCTACCATGTACTGGGCTTTCGGAGACGAACTCCTCCATCAGGCCAATGCCTTCGCGCTCCTCCCTCGCACTGGCTGGCGTGATCTCGCCGTCATTCTAATGCTCATTCACCAGGTCCATACTCTGCCAAGTGCTTGACAAAATGACTCTAAGAAATGAAAAGTATAGAGCTGTGGAGTTTTAGTCTTTTTCTGTAACTGATGACTTGTGTACACAATTGTGCAGTTCATAACATTTGGGTTTGCTTGTACGCCATTGTATTTTGTGTGGGAGAAAGTGATAGGAAAGCATGACACAAAGAGCATATGTGCAAGGGCTCTTGCTAGGCTGCCTGTGGTGATACCAATATGGTTCTTGGCCATCATTTTCCCCTTCTTTGGCCCCATAAACTCGGCCGTCGGCGCTCTTCTTGTCAGCTTCACTGTCTACATCATCCCTGCCATGGCCCATATGCTCACTTACAGGTCCGCCTCTGCTCGTCAGGTAAATAGTCCTAACTCTTTTAACTGTGGCCACCCTGAGAATCTTAAGCCTGACTTCAAATAGCTAGTCAGAATGTTATGTCAGGTGAAGCATTTATCTTCAACTAGTAGTCAAATTTCAAGTGTCCCGCATTTTGTCAGGTTCTAAGATATGCCATCAGGCTTGTGATCTCAAAAGCAGAAATGAAATGAATAGGGCTGTAATCTGTATGTTGTGAAAAAACAAGTGATGTCCAGTTATGCGTTGGAGACAGATGGTAATGCCCAAAATCCTAACCAGATTGATATAGGCATCTGAAGAGACGGTTGAACTAACTCAGCGGAGTGTATATTTGGGGAAGATATGAGTTTGAATCCAGCTTCGATGATTTAACTTGGAATTGACTTCCAAGGTCACAGGCAGTGCAAGTCATGAGAGCCCCACCCGTGATATAATAACAAATTATTCAAACTTTGAATCTAATTAGAGACAAGAAGTTGGTGTCATTTCTTTGTCATTCAATTATATGCTATATAGTCATAACTAAGACCTGGGCCACCCCACCCAGCCTTCACTAGTGACCCTACTCATAACACTCAAATACTCACTCACTATTCTTATCCCTTGACCTAACGCAATGGTATTGAGCTGGAACTGCTCATGAGCTATACAGTGATTTTTCAAAGATTGAATTGTACTGAACTGTTGATAACATGTGTGTGTAAAGAGGCAGACATTAATAGATGGCATTATATTACAAACCAAATCAAATTTACGACTTCTCACTTATGACAGATCTTTCATATCACTAAGCTACAAGGCTAACATATATGTTTGAATGTGCAGAATGCAGCAGAAAAACTTCCGGCGTTCATACCGAACTGGCCGGCGATGTACGTGGTGAATGCTTTGGTGGTGGTGTGGGTTTTTGTGGTAGGGTTTGGATTTGGAGGGTGGGCTAGCCTCACTAATTTCATTGACCAGGTTGGTACCTTCGGCCTCTTCGCCAAGTGCTATCAGTGCCATCCCAAGCCGCCTCCTCGTTTCAATCACACAGCACCTCATCGTCCCTGAACACAAGAGCTCTCTTTTTTTGTGCTCTATAAGCCTTAGTTTTTTTTTAACTTTCTTCTTCTATGTTCTTTCTTTTTGTTTAATCTTCATATAGATGTCTACAATTGTGGCCAATGGATGCTTGATGTTCCCTTATATAACAAGGCTATATATGTTATTAATGATTATAGTTAGTATCATGTGCTTGGTTAGTGATAAACATGATTGCTCGCAACGTGATGGATGTTTGCCGTATAGCGATACCAAGTCTTAAGTTTCTAGTAGTAATAATGGCTTGCTTTCTGAAAAGACTGTAGGAGATCATTATGATTCCTTGGCAAATTTAACTTTATAGCTTACCCAAGCTAACAATTATTTTGTACTCCTTCCGTTCCTTATTATAAGAGACATTTGATGCTTATGGCATGTTTCTATATATAAGAGACACTTAAAAGTTGTCTCTATTTTTTTGTATTGATTTTCTATTTTACTTCTATTTATTTTGTTTCCAACTCATACTCTCTCTCCCTCCCACTTCTCTTTTTTTAATAATTTAATTGTTCTCTCTCATACTCTTTCTCCTTATTAATAGGGGCATTGTTGGAAAAAACATTATACTTTTTACACATTAATTGTCCTCAACTAATTTTAACTGTTTTTTTTATCAACATAATTTAGTTATTTGTCTCTTATAATAAGGAACGGAGGGAGTACTTTTTTGTTTGGAATACAAGTTTTGTACTTTTAAATGGGGCCCTGGAGTAATTATTGGGTTCTCTCAAGAGTACCATCTCATCTTTACTATGTCCAATTAAGCGCCTACTTGGATTACCGTTGGAGGGGGAGAACGTGCACCGGAATAAAAAAACTGAGGTTTGTGGCTTGCTTAGAGATTTTAGGATGTTTTAGTGGGCTTTTTGCCCAACCAACTTTGGTTGCGGTTAAACGCCCAAAATTTGAGCTTCTTGAGTTGCCAATAGAGAGAGAACGTAAATGATGATTGACAAAAAAAAAAAGATATTTAAGTGGGTCTCATCTTGATTTAATGATTTGATTTTTTTCGGTAATAATATAATTATTTTTCATTTATTGTTTTTTTTAAATTTATCAAATTATATATATATATATATATATATGATATACTATTTGAAGTCTTTAACATAAGGCCCACTAGACTAGTTTGAAGAAATTAAAAAAACTAAATAAATTACTTAAGTATATCATTTGTTATATGATTTTTCTAAAATATTTATACATATAAATTAATATATAAGTCAGACAAATTGGTCTAGAGGAAAACAATTTTTTAGTTATTTTATATGTAAACTTATTTTTTTATTACTTATTCAAACATGTTTTAATTTAGCAAACTGACTTTTATAAAAAAACCAATTTAAATATAAATCATATTAAACTAATTGATTTTTACAAAATTCATATGAAATAAAAGTCAGTTTTGCTACCGCTAATCCAAATACACTCTAAAAAATACCAAATCAACGTATGCAATTGATGATGTGTCACCTTATGTGTCACAGCCTTTTGAGTTATGTATTTATATAATTTTCTCTAATTAGCGGGGTTGCAATTTTAAACTCCGAAGTGTTCATTATAAGTCCGTGTGGGAAATATAGGCTAACCTAAACTGTTATCATAATTCATACATACAAGCTGAGCAAGCTACCTCCCTTTTCTATAATGGCTGGAATTATATCATCCTGGCCTGTTAAATTGACGCTATTTTTTTTCAAGAAAATCAAAATTCTTATAAAAACAATCATAATTTTGAGAAATAAATGGTCAAATTATCAAATTTTCACAATCCACAATTCTCAGCGCAATTTTCTTTTTTTTTTTTAATATAAAAATATGTCTTTTGATGTTGGTGACAACATTATGCACACGCAATCATATGTCAAAGCATTTATTTTGGAGAAATTGACAAGCATTTTGCATTTCCTCCAGAAAGACAAACTTCTATTATGAAGCCGATACCAACATATGGCTGGAATATATAAAATCATTATTTTTTTTGGCCAGAAAAATGGTTACATTTCATTCATGTCTGAATTACTACTATTTCCTTAAGTTTCAAGAATGTTCTTTTAGTTTCAGCTCCAAAAAAAAAGAAAAAGAAAAGAATGTTCTTTTAATGAATTTAATGTAACGCGTGTAGAAATTCTCTTTTTTGTTCAAACGGAGATACCTTCTGTGATAATTATTATAAAGCATTTTGCGAATAGTAGTTTTTTTTTGACCAGAAGCGAATAGTAGTTATTACAAGTCACCAAATGATATTCTGATTATATTTTTTTTTTAAGGTTGCTCTTATATAAAATTTAATACAAGTTTTTTTCTTCTCAAGATGCAATTTATAGTTTTAAATGAGTTAATCTAGACTTTTTAATATTTTCAATTAAATTTTTTTGAAAAGATAAAAAAAAAAATTTAACACATCTACTGAATTTAATTCTCTTCTGATTCTATTTGATTATAAATCATTCTAACATGTTTTGCCAGAACTTAAAGCAATTTAATAGTATTACTTGTAAACAGGATAGAAAAAATCTCATCTCTTTTGATCATTAAATTAATGGATTAATTTTTGACGATGCCAAAGTTAAAGGGCAAGCCTTCGGAATCGAGTTGAATGGATTCAGGCAAATTAATTTTATCAGCGAATCCATCACATAAATATTTTTAAAGAATCTATCTTCTATCCATTAACCCTAAATTCTTCCCCCAAAAACCGAAATTCGATAAAGAGGGAATTAAATTTCACGTTCATTACGTTGCTTGGAAAACAAGGGATTGGTACCCGCCAAGATTCTCCCAGGGAATGCGAAGAGGTTGGAGCCGCGATTGCTTTTTGAGTGCAAGGAGAACGACGTCTCTTACTACTGAAAGCTGAGAGATCTGCAAGACGAAACCACACTTCAATGACTTCTGGGCAGAAAAAAAGAAAGGTTTTCACCGCTGGGTCATCATATTTACTTTTTACTTTGAATTTCTTGAATCACAGTTTGTCTCTTCTATGTCTTATGGCTTCTTCTCTTGCAAAAATAATTAAATCAGGTGGGGTTGATGCGTATTGACGCCGCCATGGATTCCCTCTGTCCCATGGGTTTCTCCAGAGATTTGGTGCGTAAAACTGTAAACAAGCTCCTTAAGGTGAGTCGTCTGGAAGCTTGATAACGGGAAAAGGCTTGCGTTTCGACCTTGAAATCTGATATAGGATTTGTGTAATCGTATGAAGAGATGAACGATTGTGTTTCAGGCCTATGGTGGAGATCAAGGTTGGGTCTTCATCGAGGAAGCATCTTACAAGGTGGTTATTGATGCAATCCTTGAAGAACAAGAGTCAAAAGAGAAGACTGAACTGGAAAACGCGCATCCGAAGTTGTTGGAGTGTTCGTCAATACAGGTGATCTTGATTTGGTCTTAATACGTACATTTTACTGTTTTCTCTTTGCAATTGATGAATCTTCCCACTCTTCGAGTCTGGTTCCAAAGCAGAGCTGATATGACGTAGTAGAATTTCCAGGCTTGCTTGTAACCGATGGTATGCGGATGCTGGGTTCGCAAGTGTCAAAAATGGTTTGAACACGATTATTCCTGCTTTTGTCTCGAGGCAAACGAATGGCTTCAACTTTACTTACTTAGTCCCCCCCCCCCCCCCCCCAAAATGATAATTACCAATATTCATTCATGTTATGTATAGTTTAAACTCTAACTGCAAAATTGTTGGTCCCTTCTGAACTAGCATTACAGATAATTAGTTTGATTAGAACGAGACTGGGTTTATGATATGCACATGCTTATCTATATTTGGCCTGTCTCGATCCCTTGGTATGCATAATGTTCACATCGTTCTATGTTATGATGAAGATGTAAGATAGTTTCTACGTTTCAGCTGTCATTCTGATTTCTAGGCCTAAATCTTTCAAGCAAAGTTGTAATCCTCATCTGCATATTCAGTCTCCGCTTTGTTACTAGTCACGTCGTTCTTGAATATGCCGGGCGGGACCTGTTGTTTCTAAATGAGGATGCACCAAAATATTGGATATAAATGTCTAAGATCCAATTGCAAATATTTTAAATACAATTTGTCTTAACAAAATGATATGTTGTTTGTGAGTTTATGATATTATTTCTCCGTTCTTTTTTCTCATCCCAGGTATTTCGGTTTTCTGTTGCTGCTTTTCAAGTAGAAAGTAGAATGTTCATTTTAGCTTATGCAAGTGATTGATTTTACTGCATATTTCCAATGTTAGAGTACACTACAATGCAGCAGTTTCATGCACACTTTTGATTAGGACTCTGATGGTATTTGACATGTTTTGGACATGATTTACATTGACTGGATGTTCACCCATACTACTATTTATGCAAAAAAGGGATGCCCATAGCGACGGCAGACATTGTTATTACAAACTATCCTGTTTCCTCACGTATCTAACATTTAATTTATCTGGAATGGTAAATCTCAGGCTGAGTCTGTAGAACAATCTCAATCCCTTCAAGATGATTCTGAATGCATCAACCAATCAATAATGCCGGATGTCACTGGCCACTCTCATACATCACAGGCAAAAGTCACTGCAGAAGTTGCCTCTCTGGCCCAGCACATTCACTCTGAGGCACCAATGGATAATTCTCATCACCCTCTTGAAGATATCCTTGAACACAAGGCCACTACAGAAAATTGCAGGGGGGCACCGACTGTTGCTGATGTTAAATCTCCAGGAATGTGTCCGAGACCCTCAATGGAATTGGGATCCTCCTCTGTTGTAAGGAAGCGTAGACCCTGCTTTGGGTGGATTAGTGACGATGACAATGATGAGAGTGATTTGGTGTATCTATTACCAGCCCCATCAAAAGTTTAAAAATCTTTAACAAGATTCGGTTTACAAAGATACTATAGACATGTTGACATGGTTTATGATTTTGCTAATTTTCTGTAGTTTGCTTTTATTATGCATGTTATGTGATAAATTCTCTATTTCTCTGATAGTGTGTCCATATTCTGATCTCTTGGCGTCTTGTAAATGCTGGTAGATATACTCATTTGTTCCTTTTTGCAAGTGTTACGTGACGAAAGAGGGGCTCAGGGATTGGTAGGTCCCATTGGCAGGTGGGGTCCATGCTAGTATGAATTTTCAGAAATCTAAACAAACGACAAGTGCATCATAGCATGACATTGAATTTTCACAAAAATTGCTGGATGAATTTTTGAAATCAGAATATAATGAATTACAATAAAAGTACAAACATGGGAGGATCAATTTAAGAATGTATTTGTATCCAGAGATCAAAATAAAAGTTTCTTTAATACCCACTCTTCGTTTCCTGCCCTGAGAAACAATCTATGGACAGAATAAGAAATCCACCATCCGTCTTAACTTGCATCTCACTTTCATTATCGTTCGAAGATTCAAGACGCGATTGTTAGGAACTCAAATTTATCTCAAATCCAAAGAAAAAAACGCTGTTAGGTGTGTACATAGCTAATTTACATTAATTCGCAATCAGTTTCATATAACGTAAGTAGGCAAATACTCTTTGGTGCTTTTTTTTTTTTCCCTCTCTTCCTAATCACATGTATTCCCTATTGAAAACAATCACGTTCACGGTTACTCTCATTTTCATGACACTCTTACTGTGATGCTTTTGGAGTGTGACGGATTCCAATTCCAAGTTAGAAAAGCTGGAGGCCTCTTAGGCCCATTGATCTTTAGACTGGTATTTCACAAATTTTTTTTCGGTAGAGACTAGCATTTCACAATTGTATTTGGATGGTCTTTTTCTGGTTTGGAAAAAAAAGAAAAAAAAGAAGAAAAGAAAGACTATCTGATTCTTTGCCTCTTGTGGCTTGCGCTCCCACTGCCCAGACATGTGAGCAAGGATTCTGATTCTCTGCTGCTGCAAGAAGGAGAGGCAATGCTGCTCTTGAATTTTAGCCCTTAATTCATTCAATAACTATGACAATGCCACGTCACATGTGCAACCCAAATTCAAATATCCCATACATAGCCGGTATGCTTGCTCTGCTTTGCAAAAGTTTTTCAGAGAGCCCTTAATCCCTTCCATTAGCGCATTCCGATTCTTCAAAGAGCCGACCCAGTATGCTTTCTCTGCTCTGCAAAAATTTTAGGCAGCATCTCTCTGCTTATTAATCGATTCCCATGGAACCCATGAAATGCTGAATCGCCGTGCTCTGAAAGCCAAAGCAAGAAGAATTTTAGTTTTGTGCTTGAGCTCACTCAACAAGAAGAAGCAGGAGAAGCCTTGAAAACTATGGCTTCGAGGTCTAGAAGCCGATCCCGAAAGGTTCTGCATTTTCCCGTTTCGCTCTCGTTTCCGTCTCCTTTAGTCCTCTGCCCGCTTTACCTTCTATATATTTTGCAGTTTCCCTCTTCTTTTTTCCCCACCTCGAACGCATAATTCCTTTCTCAGCATTCTTGCATTTTCCCTTCCTTACTAAAGTTTTGAATTTACTCGCAGAACAACAACACACCTGGTAATACGAGAATAGATGCTGCTCTTGACGCAATGCGGCCTTATGGATTTCATGAAAAGCTAGTTCGAGAAACCGTTAACGAGCTTCTAGATGTTGGTCTTCTCTCCGAAGCTTGTCAAATGGTATAAGTTGTTGTTGTTTCCATTTTTCTTCTTTTAATACCTGAGGTTTTTCTAGGTCTATGAAGGAACCCAAGGATGGCCCTTTATTGAAGAGGCTTCTTACAAGCTCCTAATCGAAACCATACTTAGCAAACAACAAATTTCTTCAGAAGAGAAGGTAAATAATATGGGCTGAGTTTAATTTGCTCCTATTTTACTTTTTCCCTTCGTTCTGTTTGCTCATCTATTTTCTCCGAAGTTTTTGGGTACTTGCATCTGACATTTGTCTTCTTGGTTGACCCGTTACAAAAATGCTTTGCTTGATTCCTAAGAAACGGGAATAAAAAGAGGGAAAAGCAAAAAGGACTTCAGAAGATTGCATGTTTAGTTTATTGGGCTTGGATCAGCTCCTTTTACAAACAGAAACTTGCCTCTATGCTTATAGAAACCTGTCCTGATGCTTCTTAACTTCTGGATTGTTAGCTGGTGCTGGCCTAATATCATTTAGCATAATATAATTCTTCACGGTTCCCTTCATCATTCTAAATAATTTTTTTGTCATTTTCCTGGAGCTCTCTAACGCAAACAGGTCTCACGGTTGTGGAATAATTTATGGCGAATCCATTTACCTTCAAATGGGGCTCAAATTGTAAATGAAAGTTAAGATCCATTGTTATAGAGATCAAGTAGACTGAGAACTTTGAAGAGGCATTTGTTTGTCAATAGTTTTCTTATTTAGTTAACTGGATGCTACTTATAATTTTACTGGTATTCAGGATATCATATCTATATTTTCCCACGATGAAAGGTTGATGTGGTTAACTAAATGGTATTATTTTATTGGTATTGGAGATTCTGCTAAAATCTAAGTAACATAGTCAAAGAGGAAAATTTTCAATGTATGAATATATGAACTTTGCTTATTAGCTATTATATTTACCAAATATTGAAGCTCTACAGTGGATGTTTACTGTTCCTGACATGCTAATTTTGGCCACACCAAGCCATAAAGAAGGGAGCTCCTTATGCTTCTTTTCTGTGAATTACATATCGTTTCTTCTTGGACTTTAAATATCAAAGCATAACTAGCTTGATGTCTCAATTATCTGCAATTTTTCTGGGGTGCTAAGGAAGCTAATCCAGCTTATGGCATGAAACTCTTGCGGATAGTAGTAATGGATAGATATTACAGACAGTTATGTAAAAGAATTATGTGATAATTATGTAAGACTGATAGAACCCAACTGTATTATTTTAGAGAGATCAGAGGCTCTCCCAAGCCATCCACGTGCTTCTTGTCTCCGTCCCTAGAAAACTGACTCTGACTACCCTCCTTGGGGTTGTTGGGCTAGATATTGGGTTGTAAGACCTTTCCTGGGCCCAATTCCTGTGGTGCTGGGTGTTACGTTCAGATTAGGGCTTCCTCCTCTCGTATACCTCACCTTTGTAGTGCTGGGCCTATCAATGACACATCATTTTTACTCTGTTTTCATATAAAATACCACCAAGTATGCAGTTCTGCATACAAGTCCATCTCCTAGAAGACCCATGTGAGTAGGCCCCACATGTAGTTTTTTCTAGCTTTTCATAGCACAAATTCTAAGAAAGTCTTTTTGAACCTTTTTATCCAATCTTCTATTAATAGAAAGACAACATCGCTTCAATTTTATGAATTCACCACCATCTCATTTTTTCTCTACAGAGCGAGAGGTGATATGTATTTTTCATCGCCATTTTCATATGCACTGTCAGCATATCATCCAGACATTATAAAACTCCATAAAGTCACTGGTCTCTCTCACCTTCCTCACCTCTTGCACTAAGTCTCTCTTGCTTTCTCTAATGCCTTGTTTGGTTTGCAAAATGGAATAGAATGAAAAGGGAATAGCGTAAAAAAGTGATTTTTAGGATGTAAAATGGTCAGTTGCATCACTAGCTATAATTAAATAGTAAAATAAAAATAGTTTTTGTTGATAAATGACTACAGGGATATAATAAATATTTCACATCTTGATTTTTGAGTAATGGAAAAGGAATTCTTTTCCAACGTTTCTGCTTAATGGAGCCTGGGGGCTGAGGCACAGGATCTTCATATCTCGATCTTTCAAAATGGAAATAATGATTTTTTGCAGGATAATAATGCAACAGGGGAAGGAGAAACTGTTGCATCAGTTGCTCCCCAAACATGTGCGAATTCTGAGCCCGGCTCCTCTAGTATGGTGGCTCAGGATTCTCAGTTAGTGGCTTCTTATACCAGAGATGCTCAAGTCTCCGTTTCACTTGGTGATACAGAATTTGGTAATTCTTTTGGCCTGATCTAGAATTTGATAATTAAATTCCATATTTTGATCTGTTTTTCTTTTAGAGAAATTGACAGATAAGGAGCCCTGAGATCCAATAAGAATAGAGACTTAAAATTCTTTTAAATGAATCAAAGTTGCCACTTGTGCTTCCCAGATCTACTAATGATTTTCAAATTCAAAGTTATCATTCATGCTCTCTGAAGTTTTAAAACCTAAAACATTCTTATGACCTCATTAATATTAAGTTATGACTTTAGGAAGAATAGGAAGTAACTTTGAAAAGCATCAGTTGTAACTTTGGTTATTTAAATTAGTTTTTATCTTTCAAGTTCAATTGGTTTTTTTTATATTTCAAGTTCAATTGGCATTATGGAACTTTAGAGTAGCAGTTTCCTGACTTCACTTCCTAACACAGCCAAGCACACGGTATCTTTTAAGTTGGACTCGCCCCATAAATCTACCTTTATTAAACACGCACCTGATCAATAACCCATTAGCTGATATTTGATTTGTTTTATCAAGAGATTAGATTAAGTACACTTATTTAGTGTTCTCTATCAGTTTTCCCCAGCTAGCATCATACAATGTGTGCGTGCGCTTTATTTATTTATTTATTTTTTTAATGGGATGTAATTTTATTGGAAAATTTGAAAACAAACATTCAAGGAACTTTACCTAAGTTGTGTCTTTTACTAGGGCCAGCAATATTTAGTCAATGGTTGGTAATTGCAAAGAGAGGATAAGCCTTGTTCATCTAAAATAGCCTTCATAAATTCAAATGCCAGATATGTTTCAGCTTAAATCATCACAGAAGAAAAGGAAAAAAAAAGCTTTTTGTCTGCAAAAGATCACTGAAAATTCTCCTCTTATCGTTTTATTAATTCAGAGCACTGTTTTATTTCCCAGATGGTGAGAATTCAACTCAAATCCGAGGGGAGGCAGAAAATGAGAGAATGCCTGTGGACGATGCCATTGGAAGTAACAACAGAAATGTGAATGCTGAGGAAGTGAGGATTCCGGTGATTCAATCTTCACAACCACAGGTTAATGTTCCAATCAAGAGGCGTAAACCGTGCTATGGATGGATTGGTAGTGATACAGACGATGAGAATCATCTAATTCAGTTCCCTCTGCCTCCATTGCCTGAAGAGCTAATGAATTTTCTTCAGCAGAATGGAACTCCCAAATGTGGCAAACGGAGAAGGCGCAAGAGTAGGTGGGATGAGAAGCCAGATGATGTGATAAGCTAAACCCTTTTGCTTTCTTTCTCAAGATTCATCTTCTTGAAGATTTGGTCTGTATATGGCAGGAGACTGATCTCAACTATATTTTTGTGTAGGGGATGTATGTTTTTTTGGGGCCACCATATAGGGAATATATGTTGAGTTCTCTTCTTTCGCAGTTTCACCCTTTTTGTTTGCATAGCGCATGATAACTATGGTGCAAGTGGCGGAAATGTAGCTTACTGCGGATGCTGTTGTATGTGAAGGAAATTTTCTCAGCCAATTGGACCAAATTGTGTTCATGTGATTTTATATATATATATATATATATCTTTGCCGATTTTTATTTTTTTACTCATCTTCAGGGTACTAGTTTATGGGAATAGAGGACATTAAAATATGAAATTCTTTTATTTTATTAGTCTTGTAAATATTGTTTATTCACATTTTGAAACTTATTTTTTTGGGTCAGTGCATGAGACTATAGATTATGCATATAATGTAGGGGAACATTGAATTTTTGATCCTTGTGCTCTCACTTGACTTTGACACTAGTTCTTATATATACTTCAAAATTTGCAAACTTATCCTTACCTTTTCGTGTGGTCAGCTTCTTGAATTATGGACCTCTGTTTACTTTTTACCTCACTTTTACAACTCAAGTCCTATATTGAATATTCTAAACTAGATCGTCTTACTCGTGAGCTGCACAGGAAGTTCAAGCCTGGAACACTTTTTCCAAACAGGTTAAACTCTTGCATATTACGGAGAATAAATTTAATTTCAAGCGATAGAAACCGTGCTAAATCAATCGCATAAACATATTCATCCGCAATGACCACAAAAGGTAGGAACATTAAAGCACATGCCCGTATCAAATTGTTGAAATTATTATTAAACACATCGTTTCCTGAACACCACGAAAGATTTTAGGGCAGACCGCAATTGTTGTTAGTGTTCAGTCTAGTAGCATCACTATGAGCAACAATAAACTTCATCCCTTTCATGCTTTTAACTCTTAGATATAATTGGCGGTATGTAAATACGGGCTTGCATAGATATAAATTGACTTGAAAAAACACGAGCCGCAACTGCTTCTGCATTCTTCATCCTTTGAGTCAAAGAATATCAGAATGCCAAAGTGGGACCAGAATACATGAATCCAAGTTGAAGGACCAAAAATGACGCAGCAAGATCATCAAGCTGTTCTGCGAAGAAGTCCACTCAACTCTTCCAATCCCTCCATGGCAATCCTTGCTTGTTGAAGCTTGAACAGAAACATAACACGCCACTTTGCCCTTCACTCTGTTCTATCTCTTCTCCAATAAGCGAACCCACAAGAAGAATCAGCACCAGAATCCTCATTGCATAAACACTACCTCCATAATCCATTGAAACTCCGATTTCAATTAAGCGAGAAATCCTCAAGATCGTAGCCGGGTTTCAAGACCATACCAACTTTTCAACATCGATGATGGAATTTTCCATAATATCCAAACTGGATTTTAGCGGGAAGGACAATTGTCATTTGACTTACTAGTGATTTTAGCCTCTCCCCGTTATTGTTTCAGAATTTCAGATTGCTATAAATAAAGCCATATAGGAATGTAAAATAAACTCTCTCCCTGGTTTTCTTTTGGTACATTTTCACGTTTCCTTTTCTTGTGAAAGACTGGTGACAAAGTGCTCCGGTACGTAAGACACGTGAAATCTGGCATCTTAATGCAGCACGGCCTGCTTATGTAGAATGCAGAAGAAGTGGCTCGCTTTTTTATTTCTTGCTTGCTTCCCTCTGCCTCCTGATCATCACTCCACTCAGCACCCGCCTTGGATTACAAGTCCACGTGTCACCAACTCAGTTGCCATATCAGCTTCTCGGCCAATTCTCCGATTTTCAGAGGCAGGGATCAGGGGTCTGGCCTCTCGTTCTTTAACTACTTTGTGCGATCTAGGGAGGATGTCACTGATGGAGTGACGCCATAGGCACAAACCTAGTAAGGCTGCATCATCTTTTCCGAAATACAGGGGCTAAATTTGAGCGAGCGGCAAGTAGTTAATTAGAAAATTTTTGAAGTACCCAGAACAACTCCTGAATCAGGTGGAAGGGACAAAATGCTTCTTTATAAATAGATTAAAAAAAAAAAAGCACATCCCATAAATTTGATATATTTTTTTGACTTTAGTTCTTTTAAACAGAGAAGCAGCCCTGATTCACCTGCATAAGATTAAAAAGCAGGGGAGGCAAGTACCGTTATTAGCTGTAGTTTTGTGTTCTCATCAAATTTTATTAGTATGCGTGTGGGTGTACATTTATCGAATGGATATGGCTGGAAATTAGAAAGTATCTTCTCGAAAAGCGCAACGTGGAGTTTATTAAAAGGATTAATTAGCGGAAAAGAACACAAAATCTAGTACTTTGATCCACATGTTAACACGTGTCCAACGTTGATTCGCTCACCGAATTCGCCGTTCCATGTCCTGGAAACAGAAGAAAATATCTGCGCAGAAGGAACCTAGCGAAAGCGAACACGGATAATCGGGTTGGCTCGTCCCCGATACGTATAACCCCTAGGACTGTAAGGCCTGCAACTTAAAATTTCTGGTCGAGTTTAAAATCTGTAATGGGGACAGGGTTTCATCTAAATTAGAGCTCTTTTTGCATTCAAATAAGGAAGCTCAATGATGAGTGTTTCGGCAACTTTTCGCGGGAATCTCGTCCTCCTATCACAATGCAGTTTTTGTTGTAATATTCAATTTCAGCCGTGCCTGCCTCCGTCTAATAGTTATCGGCATTTACGGTTTTCTCGGAATAGTTTGAAGACAGTTCAGAATCGACGGTAAGGTTTTGTTTCCCTCGTGCTGGCTTTGATGGGAGTCTAATTCTATTTCACGATGAACTGATTTAGCTTCAAATGATGATATGGCTATTGATTAAGATCAAGTGGAAAGAGAGAAATTGCTTGTAGAGTTACTGAGCCACATTCCGAACCAGATGGTAACAACGAGGAGGTACTCCCAATAACCAATTACTGCCTCCATTTGAAGTTTCCCTTCGTTCTGATCATTTTTATTTCGTGAATATGTTCAAGGCAGTTCTCTGTTAGTGCCACCAAGCTTTTCTAGTTGTTTTAACATGCTCAGGATTCTTTGGATTGTGTCAAGATATGTTGATAAAAAATTTGCAAATCTTGTTCGACTTGTTGAAAAGGCAATTAGCCTAGTTACGGAATATATTTCAGTAGAATTTGGAAGATGGATTTGGACTTATTTTTATGGAAATTAGTGCATATAGAGTTGGGAATTTTGATTACCAGACTAAGAGTGAACTGGTGCTAATTTTGTCATTTCTGCTTGGCTCATTAAATTTTCTAAATGATGGCATCAAGCAGAAGTACGAACGTGAATCGAATAAGTTTCTGCTAATAATGGGCCCTAGACTGTCGGTTGAAATGCTAATGTTTTAGCAAATTCGTGATCATGGGATATTTTGTTATACTTTAGTTAATAGGGCCAAGTAAAATGTTCATGTTAATGAAGAACCCTGAACACTTTGGACTGAGGACGGATGTTAGTTTTACGTGATATGTGGATCTTTTAATATCGTACATTCTTACTTGCAGAAAGAGGAACATGAAAATGGAGAAACGCAATCTTTGGCAAATTCCCCTGAGCAAAATATCTCTCAGTCTTTTGATGGGGAGCAACTAAACAAATTTGAAGACGAAAATCCAGGTCAAAATAATGAGCAGGTAATATATCCCTATATTTAGATTTTGAGTTTTGATGCGCATATTTTGGTTGAGAAATGGATTCTTTTCCCTACTTTATTTTCTTTTAATCTATGAAAGTCCATTGACTCTCAGCAGTCTTTTGCCCATCGACATAAAATACCCTACAGGCTACTTAATTAAATTTACATTAATTTTTTTTTTATACATTAATGGCATTCGAAAGAGATCATTTTTGCTTTAGTTACAGTTGACCAACTGTACTCCTTCCTAGGTTGCTGAAAGCCTAAAAATAATCTAATTAGCATTATCTTGCCTCAGTAATTAAACCTTCGAACTTATTCTCTGTCAAGTCATATTAATTATTGATCCACACAAGAATTTTTTTTTTTAAAAAAAAAAATTTCTACTATGATCTCTTCTTTATCTTTAGAATTCTTTCTTAAAATAAGAAAAGGGATATTGTTTCATTTGAATTTAGGAGCATTATTTGCTTGTCTTATCTTGTATTCTTTGGGTTTGTTATGTAAACAGGGTGTAGATAGCGTAGAAGTTGCAAGTGGTTCCCCTCTTCCAGGTGTGAAGGTGATTACATCTAATGTTCAGCCTTTCCTGCATTAGAAATAGCATGCTCCTTTTTAATTTTTCTGTATTTTGGGTTTTCATATCTTTCAAGCAGCCACAGCAACTCGAGGAAGCAATCAAAATTCCAAAGGAAACAATTGAAGTTCTTAAGAACCAAGTTTTTGGCTTTGATACTTTCTTCATAACAAGCCAGGACCCGTATGAGGTGAGTTCTCACTTAAGCACGCGAGACGTATTCAACATCATTTCAAAAATGGTTCTGTATTCATTCCATAAGAATTTATTTTGAAACTCGAAATTCATTTTGATATCACTGATGGTAATAGTTGGAGTAGATTGTTTTAGAGATAATGTCCTTCATTTTACATGTTGTATTAAATTAAACACGATAACAAACTAGATATGCAGAAATTCCTATCATATAAACCATTGAAAATTAAACAAGGGGTCAAGCTGTTGAACTCCCCCACCCAAAAAAAAAAACAAAAAAGATTTCAAATTTCCTTTTAACATTTGTTCTTCTAGTTGTAAAATAATTTAAAAGCTATTTGTGTCCCCCCATTTTTCATGTAGCTTTCATTTTTACCCCCTCCTCCATGTTAAAGCTTTAGACCTGTCATTGGCAAAAACATTGGGTTTTACCTGCTTTGCTAGGGTGGAGTATTATTCAAAGGAAACCTACGAGGGCAAGCTGCAAAAAGTTATGAAAAGATATCAAGGAGGATGCAAGTATGCATGTTTCTATTTCTCTTTGTTTTT